ATCCCAGTTGTTGCTACACATGCGGCAACTCCTCGGCACCCGCGTACTCGATGATGCCATCCTCCGCCAGCTTTCGTTGAAGCGTCTCTCTCTACGCATCCGGGAAGTTTTATCCGTCCTCTCCAACAGCTCGTTGGATGAAATGGCACTGGCCGCGGATAAAATGTTCGAAGCAAACCCAGCTTCGCATCACATCACTGCTTGCTCCAACCCAACCCCGACCACCCCTCGCTATGTTGATATCACTTCACGAATGGGAAACCTTGAACTGCAGATGCAGCAATTGGTTCTTCACCTCTCCCGTTCACGATCATCCAGCCGCAGTCGAAGTCGAAGTCGCTCGACTACACAAACCCGCAGAAATCACCCGCCAGCCAGCTCCAACCCTCAACATTGCTGGTGCCACCAACAATTTGGCCCCAGAGCCAAGAAATGCATCCCACCATGTTTGTTCACCTCATAGAGAAACCCCGAAGTCAGACAGTAATGACGGTCCCTGTTTCCGGAATCCTTCCCAGTCGTCTTTTATTCACCCAAGACCAAAGCACGGGTATACGATTTTTGATTGATACCGGAGCTGAACTGAGCGTGATTCCGCGTGCGGCACACTACCGCCACCTTCAACCAACCACTGTCACCCTACAAGTAGCCAACAGTAGTCGCATTCACACCTACGGCCGTCGCTTCATCACCCTCGACCTCGGTTCAAGACAACAATTCAGGTGGACTTTCACCATCGCTGATGTCCACACTGCAATCGTTGTGGTTGATCTTTAGTCTGCTTTTGGTCTCGTTGTTGATGTCAAGCAGCAAAAGCTATTCGATACCTCTGTACGTCAACCAATTCGCACTTGAGTGACGCGTAGCCGAACCGATACGAATCCCGAATTAAAAACACAATTGATCCGCAATGTTCTACGGTACTGAATTAACGAAATCATTACAAATGTACAATAAAGCAAACCTCAAATATACGGTCAAAAGCACTCAAACAAGCGAGCCAATAAGATGTCCAGAGAGAGAGGCAAACAGTCGCTCCCGTTCTCAAACCACGCCAAATTCAAATGTGTCGGGCATCCAAATTAACAGATAAATAATGATGTGTGGTGTTATTTCACCATAAATCATTATAGGTTCGGAAGGATTTTAAAAAAATTCAGCATGAAATACAACCTGCACCTCTTTATCTGTCAGTGCTCGTGCATCACGCATTTGTTACATAGCACTCCGTCTACTCAACCCCGAGTCATCTGTCTTCTCCAAAATTCTTCGGAAATTTCCAGAGTTGACATCAGCCTCCTACCAACCTGCGAGTGCTACACACAAGGTGACGCACAACATCATCACCAAAGGTCAACCCTTCACCGCCAGACCTCGCCGACTCACACCCGAGAAATTGGCCGTGGCTCGCGCAGAGTTCGACCACATTCTCCAGCTTGGTATCATTCGTTCATCCAACTCCTCTTGATCGTTCCCACTGCATATGGTCCCCAAAAAGAGAGATTGGCGTTCCGACAGATACCTCATTCCACAAATACATGGATTCGCACTCACTCTGCATTCAGAACAATTTTTTTCTAAAATCGACGTGCGTGCATATTATCACATCCCGTGGCTGAATCAGACATCCCACAAACAGCAGTCACAACACCATTTGGTATGTTCGAATTTTTACGGATGCCTTTTGGTTTACGTAACGCAGTACAAACTTTTCAACGTTTAATGGATCAAGGAACTCGAGGTTTTGACTTTGTTTTCGTTTATTTGGATGACATTTTAGTAGCTAGCACTTCACCCGAAGAGCATAGCTTCCACTTGCATATTTTATTTTTACGTTTTAAGCATTATGGTCTTACATTGAACCCATCCAAATGCATTTTCGGTGTCTCATCCTTGGATGTTTTAGGCCATGAGATTAACTCCCGAGGTATTCTCCCACTGTCCTCCAAGGGTCAAGCCATTCAGGACCTCCCCTGTCCCACTTCCGTTAAACAACCTAAATATGTTTTGGGTTTGATTAATTACTATCATCGTTTTATCCCCAATGGTTCTGCTATACTCCATCCTCTCACTCATTTGTTCCGCGGTAATGCAAAAGAGGTTGTCTACACTCCTGAGGCGCTTAAAGCGTTTGACACCGCCAAAACAGCCCTCCAGGACGCCACCATTTTGTTCCACCTCGACTCATTCCCATCCACTCAACTGGTGCTGCATACGGACGCGTCGAATCATGCCGTTGGAGCGGCACTCCATCAATTAGTCGAAAATGTCCAGCAGCCCTTGGCTTTCTATTCACAGAAGTTTTCCCCATCCCAAACTAATTACAGCACCTTTGGTCGCGAATTACTGGCAATATACCTTGCCATCCGGCATTTTCGCCACCTCCTCGAAGGTCGCCAATTCATCATCATGACAGACCACAAACCACTGGTGTTTGTTTTCCGTGCACGTTCCGATCGCTACTGTCCGCACAAAATTCGTTAACCGGATTTTAGCTCTCAATTTTCCACCGATATCCGACACAGCAACGGATCGGACAACACCGTCGCAGACACTCTCTCTCGGCTCAACATCAACAATATAGTTACACCATCCGATATCAGCCTTGAGATCATTTCTCAACATCAATCCAGTGCCCCTCATTTTGGAGACCTATTCAAATCCACCTGAATCCGTTACACGCAAGTTCCTCTTCCACATTCATCCTCCACCATTTTCTGTGATACTTCCTCTGAACACCCTCGGCCCATTTTACCGTATAGTATGCATCAACCCATTTTTACGCATTTTCACACCCCAGTGTTCGTTCTATTTTACCTCTCATTGCCGATCGTTACGTTTGGCCCAATATGAACAAAGACGTCCGACATTGGGCGAAATCTTGTTTACAGTGCCAACGAAATAAGATTCACCACCACACTCTTTCTCCCCCAGGTCATTTCCCCGTCCTAGACATTCGTTTTCCTCATGTTCACATTGACCTTGTTGGCCAACTTCCCATTTCACATGGTAAGACATATCTGTGAACATGTGTCAACCGTTTCACACGTTTGCCTATGGCCGTTCCCCTGTCATTTCCTCTGAGTCCGTCGCACAACATTTCCTGTCACACTGGATTTCCCATTGCGGTGTTCCCCACACTGTAACCACTGACAGAGGCGCTCAATTTCAATCAGTACTCTTTCGTGATTTCTCGCGACTGCTTGGTTACGAACACATTCGCACCACCGCTTACCNCCGACAACTCAAAGCCTCACTTCGCGCTCACGAAGCCCCGCTGAACCGAACTTCTTCCATTCACCCTACTGAGCATTCACTCTGTCATCAAAGAAGACCACGGATGTACGGCAGCAGATTTGGTTTACGGAACGACCCTTCGTCTACCCGGTGATTTACTTCAAGCGCCGCCGTCAGCCCCTGTTTCTCCATCGACGTTTGCCGAAAAATTGCCAGTCCATATGGTGCACACAAAACCAACTCCAACACAAGTGGACTGCAAAAGTGCCTCATGATTTGCACACACGTAGCCACGTTTTCATTCGCTACGATGCTACACGTCGATCACTCCAAGCACCATACACCGGACCATACAAAGTAATTTCTCGTTCCGATAATTTTTTTCATTTTGGACCGCAAGAGAACGCACGACTCGGTAAGCATCGATCGTTCAAAACCCGCGTATCTCGATTCATTTTTCGATTTGCCCATCACACAATCTCCACATGTTTTTCCTGTAGTGTCCTACGTTTCTATCCACTTTTATCTCACATGATTGTACAGCTTGTTTTATTATTCACAACACCTACGACACTACAAATTCTGTTCGTAACTGCGCACGTGTTCTCCGAGTGTTGCCGAAGCATTACGCAATCATTATGAATTATCGTCAAGCGGTCCGTTAACTGTTGCAGTCATCCATTTCAGCTCCACGGCACCTCATCGACCGGAGCCACGCATCTGAAGAACAGGATCAATCAACCAGCCGGACAATCCTTCTGAGTTCGTTCCTTGCACCGTTTATTTCATTATTATTTGTATATGTAGTATCTTTTCCACTACAATTGCTGCAAGTCGTATCCATGCTAACCGGTGAAACAGAGTAATATACGGTAACTAATGTAAACAAAGAAAATAAACTTAAAAGATATATAGCAGAGAGAATCTTTAGAGCGAATAATTAATAATGATAGGCGGCTCAGGGTGCAACAGGCTGCTAACTGACTCACCTGGGTGAAATCTCGTAAGTTCCTTAGTCGATGAATCCTCGTGAGTGATTCACTGTTCACCGAATAAGTTTTCCCTTCCTGATGACCTTTGCTCTNACTTGTACTCTCGGCAAACACAACTGAGGGTTTTGCGTTCCTGATATAGTAGATAATCTTTTTCACTAACTGCTGCACACCTGAGATGAAAACACCTTAGGCACGTCTCGCACTGTATTCCCTCGGAGGTAACACCCTTTTTACACCGCTGATTGTGTAGTGTCTTACGTTTCTATCCACTTTTATCTCACATGATTGTACAGCTTGTTTTATTATTCACAACACCTACGACACTACAAATTCTGTTCGTAACTGCGCACGTGTTCTCCGAGTGTTGCCGAAGCATTACGCAATCATTATGAATTATCGTCAAGCGGTCCGTTAACTGTTGCAGTCATCCATTTCAGCTCCACGGCACCTCATCGACCGGAGCCACGCANTTCTGAGTTCGTTCCTTGCACCGTTTATTTCATTATTATTTGTATATGTAGTATCTTTTCTACTACATATTTGGTAAGCCCTTGTTTAGATTATCTAAAGCTTCATGTTTTCCTACGGTACCCCAGGTTCTTCAGAAACTTCACTGCATTTTATTTTACTAGTTCACCGTACATTTTACATATGGAGCAATCAAAACTAGACATAGAGAAACTTCCCATGTCTCTCACATTTACTTGCCGGCATTTGATTTTAACATACCCCGGTTATGGTTCGCCCAAGCCGAAGTCCGTTTGCGTGCTCACCGCATCCGCTCCCAGACGATTATGTATTCCCACATATTGACTTCCCTGCTCACCGATATTGCGGAACAGGTGTTTGAATTCATTATCACCATGCCTGAGACTGACCCATGCACTCAGTTGAAGGAAGCGTTAATCATCCGCACAGCTGTGTTGAATGAACGTCGATTAGATGAGTTGTTTGGGGACCTCTAAATCGGTGACCGCACCCCATCCCAGTTGTTGCTACACATGCGGCAACTCCTCGGCACCCGCGTACTCGATGATGCCATCCTCCGCCAGCTTTCGTTGAAGCGTCTCTCTCTACGCATCCGGGAAGTTTTATCCGTCCTCTCCAACAGCTCGTTGGATGAAATGGCACTGGCCGCGGATAAA